AAACAAACAAAAAAGAACAAGAGAAGCCCCCAAAAAAACCAACAAGAAAAGAAACGCCCTCAGGGATCCCTCTGCACGTCTGTGCAAGCCGACGGGGTAGGTTCCAAGCCACGCAGCACCGCCTGGCCAGAATGGGCTCCCAATTCAAGAAAAGGAAAAGAAAACAAACAATTCAAAACAAACAAACGAAGAAAAGCCCTGGGATCCCACCAGCGCGGCCGCCCAGACCGGGAAGCAGCTCCACACTTGAACGGAGCTCCGCAGCCCCTCGGGAAGAAGTAAAGATGGCGCATGGAGCCAGGTATTTGAGTGAAAGGAGGGGGAGGTGGTAAGAGGTAAGGAAGAAATCAAAAGAAGCAGAACAAAAGCAACACCAGCAGCCAACAAATGGCACTTACAGAGCCAGCTAGTGCGGGCTGGTGGAATGCAAGCAGCTGGTGCTTCCCGGACAAGAGACTGTGTTCGCGGGAAGCAGAGGAGGCCGAGTGTGGGTGAAGAAGGGTGGGTGGTGGGAAAGTATATATCATAAATTACCGGAGCTCCACAGCCCCTCAGAAAGAAGCAAAGATGGTGCATGGAACCAGGTATTTGAGCAAAAGGAGGGGGAGGTGGTGAGAGGTAAGGAAGAAATCAAAAGAAGCAGAAAAAAGCAACACCAGCAGCCAACAAATGGCACTCAGAGAGCCAGCCCGTTCGGGCAGGTGGAATCCAAGCAGCTGGTGCTTCCCGAACAAGAGATTGTGGCCGCGGGAAGCAGAGGAGGCCGAGTCGGGGTTGAAGAAGGATGGGGGGTGAGGAGGCATATATCGTAAATTACCGGTTGTTTTGTCTTCCGCTGGAAGCTCTGTGTAGCTGCTTTCTCGTACCCCGTTTGCTGGTCTCCAATAGGAGTCCAAGATGGCGGATCTGCGCTGCATTAGCTGATAGGGGACCTCTGCATGAATCTCTCCTCGCTCTCTGTTCTCTGTCACTTTTCGCACTCCATTTGGTGTTTGGCTGAGTTCTTGATCTCTTCATTTTTTAGGGTTTTAGGATTGTTGTTTTCTCTGTTTGGCTTAGTTTTTCAGATTTTGCTGTGGATGGACGGCATGGTGCTTCTGCCCAGAGCGCCATTTTCTGGAGTACTTTTGAAATGGGCTTTTTACCTTATGTTATATATGTCCAGTGTCATAGTGAAAGGCACCAAAGTAATTTATCCTCGTACTCTATAGCTCTCTGACATCATAGATAGTAGCTCCTAAAATATGCAGATACTCAGTATGACCTTTTATTTTCTCCATAAAATACTTATTGAAAGAGACGCTGGTCAGGAAGACCTTGGGTGCATTTGTTTGTTTGTTTTTAAGAAGATTGGGCTAAGAAGTGGGAAAGTGAGGAAAAACAGCAGTTATTGAGCACCTGCTCTTTCTCTGCCTTTGCTGTTCTGGAGTTACACTGGTGCGTAAGAGCAGGGTCTTTGCCCTCATGATGTTTAGAGGCTGTTGAGAAAGACTAGTGTAGGTAAGATGAGTATTAAATGTGCTGCCAGAGGCTTCAGAGCATCCCGTGTGTTCATAGAGAGAGGAAGAGATTGAAGATACAGGTGAGGGGAGTCATTGATGGCACAAGGTCCTGGAGGAGGCAGGATGGTAGGGATATAGTATATTTGCATGCTTCATAATGTGAAGTTGAGGGACCTCTTGCCTCGTGGCTCATATTTTCTGTGAAATAAGAGGCTTACTGAAGGGGTAGGTTGACAGTAGGGGATTGAATGTTTGCAAGTAGAGAGGATTTAAAACAGTCGTGTGGGGATTTAGAGAAAAACCTGATACAGGAAATCTGCTGAGCTGGACAGGATTTGGAATGCAGTTGAGACTGAAGATCAGTGAATGAATTAACAGTGGTATCAGTCTACCCTGTTGTGTGAATTAAAAAAAGAAAAAAAAAAACCAAACTTTCCAGCAGTTCAGGTCCAAGTGTTAGGAAAGCAGATGATTGAGTTCATCGTGGATTGGGGCTTTCTTGGATGGATGTGACAAAAGGACAGTGAGGCGAGGGGATTTAGGAAAAACTGTTAAGTTTGAAAAAAATAGTAGACTAGGCAGAGAAAATAGGAGGCTCTGGTAGGGTGGAATGAACAGTGGTTGGAGAACAGGTGTCATAGGAGTAACCAAGTAATTAAGCAGGAAGAATCCACTTGAGATTAGAGCATGAAATGTCTGGGTTAGTGGTTTTTCAGGTGAGACAATTCTTGTGAGGATGTAGGTTCAGAGTGGTTTTTGGCAACTGTCACACTCCTTTCTTATAGCTTCCCCTTTAAGAGAGAGCTATATTAAGGAATAATGGCCAAAGAAGAAACAAATGTGTTTTACTGGAAGCTTGCGGTCGTTAATAACATCCAGTGCAGAGTTTATAAAAAGTGTTGGAGCATATAGATTAGGGTCATGGTTTGAGGGAGACTCGCTGTTCTCTGCTTTATGAGTCTAAGATGGCCACTTTGGCAAGCAGACTTACGAAGGCAGAGGGAGAAAGAAGACGGGCAGAGATAGATAGATATCACTTCTTTTAGTGTCCCTCTCCCCCTCCTAAGTAGTGAATGGGGCCCAATGAATATTCTCAGGATCGGGTGGGGCTAAGGCATGAGAAAGGGAATGGAAGTTTGCTTCCCAACAGAGAGAGGTAGAAATCTGGGAGGGGAGAGTGTTTTGTTGTGTGACAAGATCCAGGGTGTGACTGGAAGTAAATGACTAGAATAAGTCACTGGACAAAGACAGCCAGGCAAAGAGCCTAGAGAGTCAGATGGGTCACCATGTGGATACCAGCGTGATGGAAGACAGTGGAGATGCCAGTGGGGCAGATGCCAGAATTGATGATTCTGGAAAAGCGACCTAAAGCTTGGTGCACAACAGAGACTAGGTGAATCGGGGGGTAGAGTAGCTGAACAGCAGCTTTACAGGGTGCACCCGCCCTTGCAGCTGCATGCATGCACAATGGGATGACCACCTTCCACCTGAGTGGGCTACAGGGAAAGCTCGACTCTAGGGGCCAGCCAGATTTTAGTCAGAATAAGGAGGTGTACAGCACTCTGTTGAGGAACCTGAGTATTGAGGAGTCACAGAGGCCACACTGGAAGGATTTGGAGAGAAAAGAGGAGCAGTGGGAGGGGCTGGGTCAGGGAGTGGTAGCTGAGGGCATTCCAGGGAGGAGAGGAGAGGTTGGGTGAGGAATAATTGAGTGAATTCCTAAGTCCCCTGTGCTACTCAGCTTTAATGGGCATACACATCCCCTGGGGATCTTGTTGAATGCAGATTCTTACTCTGTAGTACTGGGGTATGCTTGAGAGTCTGTGGTTCTGATAAACTCCAGGAGATGCTGGTGGTCCAAGGAGACACTAAGTGGTAAGACCTTAGAGGGTGGTGGGCACTTAGACCACCACGTCTAGATGTGGCTTAGAAAGAAAAGAGCTTCTGCAGCTGTGATACGGGGGCGGGCGGTGGACAGGACGGGGAAGCCTGGTGGTCTATACTGGAGGAGGCAGTTAGGAAGCCAGATGGCAGCCTCTCTCTGGTGTGTAGTGAGCAGCTGAATGTGAATCTTCTGGACCAGTAAGCTGGACCAGTAAGCTGGTGAATGCTGGTATCCTGTACATACTGGCTTCAGTGTGTGCTTTGACCCCAGCAGGTGATACTTATCACTTGGCCTCAGATTCAGATGAAGGTCATTAACTTGTCTGAAGTGACATGCTGGCCAGTAGTACACTCAGAGTTCTACTGTTGTAGTGCTCCAGTTTAGAGTGGAACCTTATTCAGTATGTTTTTTACACAAAGTGCTTTTACACAAAGTGCTTGGTACAGAATCATTCCATTTATTTTGGATCATTTGGGGGCTTCATAATAAGTCTAACAGATGCTCAGTATAGAACATTTGGGAAATACAGAAAAGTAATAAAGACAACAATCATCAGGATAACTGTAATTGACATTTTGATTTTTCCTTTTAGTTTCTTATATTGCCTGTGATGCTAGATACGTGGTTTTATATCCTATTTGTCCTCTCAGATTTTGTGCATTTTATATTGAATTCTTCAGAAACATTTTGAGTGGCTGCAAAATCTATTCCTCCATCTGTCTCTGTAATCGTTGAATTGTTTCTCTGTTGTTGCACATAGAGGTAATTTTCTGTTCTTTACTAAAAATAAAGCTTTGACCATTTTTGTACCTAAAACACTTTCCAGATTGATGATTAACTGCTGAGGAGAGTTTCTTTGAAATTGATTTACTGATTGAAAGACTACGTATGATATCCTCATTAAGGCTCCCAGACACATACTATTTTTCTAAATAAAGGTTATGTAAGTGGCAGACACTATCAGTGTAGACGGGCTTATGACAGCATGGCTAGCTTTGAGTATTGCTTTTAAAGATATTGCTAGTTTAATAGGTGAATGAATGTCTCATTGCATAATTTTCATTTCCTTTATTAGTGATAGCATCTGTCTCTAAGTTTAGCCATTTGTGGTTTTTGTGAGATCATCATCTCTGCTTGGCCAGTTTTTTTGGCTCTTAGTATTTTTCTTAGATTTATACTGAAGTATATATTAACTACTTACTTTTTGTATTATATTTTTCAGTTAGTTACGATTTTTAAAATGAAGTTTAAAATACTATGTTAGGTCTCTCAGTCTTTGTTTCTGTGTTCCCGCACATCTTGTTCAAGGTTACAAAGTCATTCTCAAATTTTCTGTTAAATGTTGGGTACTTTTCGGTAGCCATTGGGAAAAAAATGAAGTCGGAGCCCTACATCGTCCTTACATCCAGATAAACTCTAGATGACTCAGAGATTTAAATGCAAGAAAGAAAACATGAACTATATAATATATGAAAGACTTTCTAAGTTATTACACAATATCTAGGAGCCATTAAAGCAAAACTGAAATTCAAACACTTAAAAATCAAATTTCTGCATGATATAAAAAAGAAAATATGCTGTTGACAAAGTGAAGACAACCTCAGTTGAGAAAAGATACTTGGAATTAATTTCTTTCTTATAAAACTAAAGTGGCGAGAGCCGAGAGTGGGAGCTGGTGTGTAGTCACATTTGTCAGTCTTTTCTCTTAGGGTATCAGCGCTTTGTGTTGTCCTTAGAAAGACCTTTTCAAAGATTATATTTTTAAAATATATTTTCTTCTAGTATTTCCCTTTTCTTTTTAAATCTTTGATTCGTTTGTATTTTATTTTGGTATAAGAAATGTGGTAGGCATCCACATATTCTCCCAGATGGCTGGCGTGTGCTCATACATTATTAATAGAATGTTAGGACACTTCATTTTCAGTTTTTGAATTTTAGATCATTAGTATCATCATAGAGGCTCTGGTGGTGCAGTGGTTAAGCACTCGGCTTCTAACTGAAAGGTTGGTTATTCGAACCCACCAGCTGCTCCACGGGAGAAAGATGTGGCAGTCAGCTTCTATAAAGATTACAGCCTTCAAAACACTGTGGGGCAGTTCCACTCCGTCTGTAGGGTCTCTGTGAGTCGTAATCGACTTGATGGCAGTGGGTTTGGTCTGTGGTATAGTATCATCATCATCATTCATGCTACTTAAGAAATGTAGCTATTACAGAGGAGGGGGAAGAAAATGAAAGTGAGAGATAGGAACTGAATTTCTAAGTGAACTGGCGATTGGTTTGTACAAGGCACACTGTATTTAGTCCCAGATACGCTGTAGGTTAGGAAAATGAAAATGCAGTGCTGCAGTAATGCACGTGGGATTGGATGATTTTGGCCATGTCAAAATGTAACCTTATTTTTCTTATTAATTTAATAAATAGTTTGTGGCCACTCAGTTTTAATAGATATAATTGCCATCTTGTGGTTATAGTTTAATGTATAGGGGATATGCAGTTGATATTTGGAGTCATGGGTAGCATTTGGACTATCATCTGGAACTCAGGCTTTAAACTGAAGGTGTGCTTGTGCTTTTGACCAATAATTTGGCGCAGATTCCATAACTGTCTTTGGGTTTTTAATCTCAACTTTTGGTAATGTGTCAGATCTGGAGCTCTCCACTTCAGATCTCAGTGTTTTCCCTTCTGTTCCTTCTCCCCTTTATCTTCCTCTTAAATGTTTACCTCCGTATTTGATATATTTGATACCAAGAAGCCATTTTGCCTAATATACTAGACAACTTTGGCCCATAAGGAATATCTCTTGGTATGGTATTTAATGACTTTATAATTAATCTGAATGATAGATCAAAAACCTTGGAGAGAAATTATTAAAATTTAACATGAACATTTAGAGTGTTTTGACATAATGAAAGAGATTTATATGTTGAACACCTAAGTACTAGGCAGGGTGCCAGTTTATTTAATCGGTTGTGTCCCCTCTAAGGAAATTGTGTCTGAAAGGCTAAATTAATAACTTACTTAGGGTGAGGCAGCTTCTAAGTTGTTGAACTGGTGTTCATATCCATGAGTGAACTTTCCATTAGACCAGTCAGTAACCGTGTGCTCAAGACCCGTATACAGATACTACTGGAAGGAAGACCTCCAGTTGGAATCCTTTCAGTACATTAATAAAATACGAGAAAAGTTGATTTTCAAAGATAACAAATAACTTAGAATCACGGTATGATACACAGTGAACATAAACCATCAGTCATGCTTTAGGGTGTAGTAACACTTGTATAATACATATTAAGTAGTGACTAACCTGACCACTGTGCTCCATATTTTCCAGGACTCTTAGCATCCCCAACTTCCCAACCTCTTATATACAGAGTGTGGGAAGGTTCCTTAATGGTACAGCCAAATGATGAAAAGTAACACCTATGAAGAAGAGTAAAGAAATTGCAGTTCTGTTTCTGAGCAGAAAGGGGCTATTGGATCACTTGGGCACAAGGCTGAAATAATACATTTTTGCCAGAATTGAAACCTTACCACTAGAGTATATAAAATTTAAAAAATTAAAAATAAGCCTATTTAGTAGTTTCTTGCAAATACAGACAGTCCCTGGGTTATGAATGTGTGACTTATGTACAACCCAAAGTTACAAACCAACCCCTGTAAAGCCTCTTATATTAAAAATTCGAGGTACATACAATGGTTTGTAATAACAAATGCGTGCTACTTTTTGACTTGCATCAAAACATTATTATCATTACTGTATTATTATGTTAAAGATGTTTTAGTCCATCTGAAAGTGTTTCTTTAATGTTTATTATGCACAGAAAGGGTACACTGTATACTAAGACAAACATTTGACTAACTGACATTAGATGTAAACTGGACCTATCTTTGACTTACATACGAATTAGGACTTAAAGATTGATTTAGCAGAGGAACTCATTTGTGATCCGGGGACTGCCTGTAGGGTTTAAATTTTATTCACTTCCTCCTATAGGAAATACATTAGAAAGTGATACTCTTTTCTTCAGGAAAAAAATGCACTTTTTATACTCGAATTAAACTGCTGCTTAAGTTTACTTTATAATCTAAACTGGACTCTTGTATGTATTACATGAAATTAACAAATCTGTTTTCTTTCTCTGTACAGGCAGCTATTTTCAACTTCATCACAAGCTTTTCTACAGAGTCAGAAAGTACACAACTTTTTTCAGTCCATATCATCAGAATCTTTACACAGTCTCAGTAAGCATCCTTCTGTTCTCTGTCTAAATCTTCCTTTTTTCCTTGCTGTGGTTTTCCTTTACTATGCCATCTTGTGTGGGGTTCGTTTTAGTTAAAACCAAGGAGCAGTGGCATATGATTTTGAAATACTTGTAGTTTTTAATGAATTTTACACTGCAGTTTTTTGGAAAATAATGTATAAACACTAATATAACCAGACTGATTCAAAAGCTAAGTCTAAGTATCTTGAAAATTTTTGGACATGCTTAATCCTTGAGTTGCTTGACAAAGCTGGCGTACAGATTGGAGAGATGTTAAATGTCACTTGTGTGTTCTAGAATCTGCCTTTCCTCCTGTGTTCCCTATCCCCATTAATGACCTTCCCGTCCTTCCAGCACCCCTGGCTGGGAATATTAGCCTGTTCTTTTCACTTCTCCTCTTCGTATTCAGTCTGAGAGTAAAGGCCAAGCCATGCTACACAAAGGTCTTCCCATTTATTTCCCCTTGTTGTAGATTTAGCCTTCCTTTCATGTGTAAGCTGTTTAGCTGTAAAGCCTACCTCTTCTCTCAGATTCCAGTTTCTCATTCCATTTTAACCTATCTTAGGATTAACTCAAAATTAAATTTGATGGTTAATCCCCTGTTCAGACCCTCGATCTGAAATTTGAGCCCTACTGTGAGTTTACTGGGCCTCCATTCCCAACTTCCGTGCTCTAACTACTCGAGGACTCGGCATTATTCAGTGCACTTGCCAGGCTGTGTCCCACGGTCTTTGCTCATTCTGGACCCTCACTTGAATGTCCTTCTGTAGCATGCAAGAGTCCCCAAGACCACTCAATTTCCCACCAGTTTCCAGTTTGGGGGTCCCCAAGGCCACCCTCATGTTCGACCATTCACTGGAAGGACTCACAGAGCTCATTGAAAGCTGTTATATTTGCAGTTATGTTTTATAACAGCAAAAGGCTAAAATCAGCCAAGAGAGGAAGCACATGGTGCAGAATCCAGTTGAGTTCCAAATGTGAAACTTGCAGTTGTCCTTTCCCAGTGGAGTTGTGGATGGCACTGACGCCTCCCAGCAATGATGTATGACCGTGTACATGGAGCATTGCCAACCAGGGAAGCTGACATGAGCCTTAGTGTCAAGAGTTTTTACTGGAGCTTGGTCACATGAGCATGATTGACCACCTGCCTGGCTGAACTTTAGGGTGAGCTGAAGCCATCACCATAAATCACATTGTTAGACTATCTGGTGCGGCCTGAGACCCACAGGAAGACAAACATTCTCTTATCAGGCAGGGCATTCCAAGGGCTTAGAGAGCAAAGGCCAGACCTCTCTTTTGGGCAGGTTAATTCTTCATTATATACCTTCCTTCTGTCACAGCCTGTTGAAATCACACTCGTTTTAAGACCCAGCTGAAATATCACCTCTTCGGTGAAGCTTTCCCAGTTTTTCTTACGTTTCCATAGTTCAGCTTTGCCCTCGTGTTACAGCATTTGCCCAGTCTGCCTATGCTTAGCTTTGTGCACGTCTTTCCCAGCCTGCCTTTTAACAAGTATTTTGCCAATAAAATTGATAAGTGCTTTAGGAGAATTTCTGCTGTCTTTAAGTACAGCCACTATAGCAAAGAACTTTTTTATTCTTTCAACAAAGTCATATTTTCCTTCACCTAAAGGGGGAGGAAAATACACATTTGATCAATTTGAGGTGAGAGAAAAAAGAGAAGTGAAAAATAATACAATTGGATATTATAACATGTTGGGTTAACTTTAAAATTTTTTCTTATTGTGTATATATGTCTTAAATATTTTAAACAGGCTATTAGCAATTAGAATTTAAAGTTCATGACTCTTCATGAGGTTGACTGAGGCAAACTGAACAACTCCGTGGTTAAATCTATGCCTGAATAGTGGCAGTAGTTTTTTTGTTTTTTTAAAAAAACAAGAATCCTGATTATCCTAGAGATACATAGCTTTAACAATCAATGCTTTCTGCCTGAACCAAGTGTGAATACTTTTTAATGTGTATCTATAAAAAAATCTCTAATTCTAAATTTTAAAAAGGCATTGAAGCAAAAGTTGTACTTTTAGTTGAGATTTACAGGCTGCCCAGGAAAACTCACCTAAGTGAGTAGTTTATATACAAATAATAGAAAACCTGTTTTGAGAGCTTGACAGCATGCAATGCTTTAGAGGTCAGTAGATTTTGTGTTCAAGTGTTAAATTGTTATAAAAATACTGTGTCAAAATACATGATCTGAGACTGTGGAAAATCTTGTGAGGATAATGTTCATGCATGTCTGAGCTGTTTCACCAGTGAGCACAATGTTGTCAAAAGTTTATTTGCATGTACTTTTTTTTTGAAAAATTGATAGCTCTACCTTTTTGTTCCCCTGGGATAGAGAGCAGTACACCATATTCTCACAACTAGCAGAGTGAGAAATTATGAAACTCCTAAATAACTTAAAATGTTGAACTTTGGCATCCTACTAGTCTGTGTTTTAGTGGATAAGTAGTTTAGTGCTGTCTAGTGTGTTGTGTGGATCAGTGCTGGTCCACAAATTGTTGTCACTGGTCTGTAATAAAAGAACAGAAGTTCAGAATAGACATCAAGAGACTTTTATAATAATTTGATACTGCCACAGCATTATTATTGTATTTTACAAAGTAACAGTCCACAACAAATTGGAAATTAAAAAACAAAAACAACACCTCCCCCCCTCCCCCCAACAGATTGTTTGAGAAACACTGTCTAGTCCATCACACTAATTTCACCCGTGAGCAAACCAGGCTGTCAGCTGTGAAGCAACTTGCCTGGGCTATGTGGTTCTTCTGGGGAGAGCTGGCTTCATGAGTCCAGTGTTCTGTGCTGTGTCGTCTGGCTTTCCCTAAAGGGTCTAACTAGTAGAAATGTTCTCTTTACTAACCTTCCACTCTCATCTTCCTTGGGGGAAAAATAATCATTATCTTTATTTAATTCTATTATGATTTTCCTAAGAAGTTAATAGTATCGAATACTTCCTGCAGATAACTTACAATCCTCTCTGAAGACTTCTAAGATATTAGAACACTTAAAAGAAGACAGCTCAGAAGCTTCAAGTCAGGAAGAAGGTAAATGCTGATTCACTAGAAGTCATCATTCTGCCTGATATTGGCACAGGGCTAGGCACATATACCATTGGACAGATTAAGGAGCCAAGAAACAGACATATGAGAACTTGGAATGTGACATAGGTGGCAGTACAAATAAATGGAGAAAGAGTGGAATATTTAATAAATGATACTGGCACAATTGGCTTTCCATATGAAAAAACATATATATATATGATCCTTATCCACCAACCCCCAAAATTGCATATGAATAGCAACTCATATGTAAAATATAAAACTTAAACTTTGATAAGAAAGTATAAGATATCTGGGGAGAGAAGGATTTCTTAAACAAGGCAGAGCATGACCATAGTGGAAATCTTACTAATCTAAATTAGAATTTTCATATGACAGAAGACATCATATAGTTAGAAGGAAAGCCACAGAATGGGAGATGGTATTTGTAGCATATTGACAGTCAAAAGACCACATCTAGACTATAGAAAGATCTCCCTATAAATCAATGTGAAAATCAACCCAAAAGAAATATGGACTAAAGATATAAATAGGCAGTTCATAGAAGAAGAAACTCGAATGGCCATTAAACAGTGTTCAGCCTTGCTAGTAATCAGGAAAATGCAAATTAAAACAGCTGAGTTACCATTTCACACTCAATAGATTGGCAAAAAAATTTAAAGTCTTACATTATCAAGAATGCTAAGTAATGGGAAGTCTCATCCACTGCTGATGGGAGTATAAAATTGTTACAACTATTTTTGGAAAGAAATTTGGCACTGTGTAGTAAAGTAGGAGATATTTTATGCTGCTGTCCATCAGTTCTACCTTAAAAATTGCTGTGCATGTCCTCCAAGGGATATGGATGGGGTATTCACAATAAATAACTAGAAATAACATTAAGTGTTTTAAATGTTAGTAAAGCTCTAACGTCGTGGTGTGATCATGGTAGGTGGCAATTAAAAGATATTTATAGTATATGCCATATTTTTTGCAAATAATGCACACACATAAATAACACACCTAAACACGTAACGCACAATATAGCGCACTTATGAAAATGGCAGGAGTAGGGGTTTTGCATGGTTGGCAAAAAATGTATGTAATGTGCGCATTATTTGTGTAAAAGTACTAAGACATGCCTCAGCACTATATTTATGAGCACATATACAGCTAATAAAAATAAAAGCATGCTTCAACAAAGTTAAAAGGTCTTGTTAGTAGTTATGTACAAGGTATGGAATGAAATGGAGGAAGGCCTTTGATTATACCTGTGATATTTTGTTTATTTTTTAAAACATATGTAGTGAAGTGTGGGAATTGAGCTCGTATTTTGCTTGTTATATTAGTAGATATGTATGTTTTGAATATTTGAAACACTTTTTTTTAATGGTTTAAAATAAAATTCTACCCAATATTGAAAATTGCGGATTTGTAGTCGCATGCTTACATTAGACTTTCATAGCTTTGGACAAGATTGCATTGCTCTCAGGTGGAACACATTTGAGAGTATTTAAAGAAATTCAACAGCTTGTTTTTCTTTGAAAAATTACTTTTTAAAGAAATTTTCTGTGTTGAGAAATGTTAAATGCTTAAAAGTGCTCAACACAATCTATTACTACTGTGTTGGCAGAGTTGTTTTGCCTAATCACATAAATTAGTGGCATCATCCTTTTGGGTTTTTGCTGAAGCATTTGGTATAACCTAACAAATTAACTACTTTTCCCCTCCTCTAGATGTCTTACAGCACACCATAATCCACAAGAAACATACCGGGAAAAGTCCTATTGTGAAGTAGGTATCTAATTTCTAAAACATAAATATCTGTATGCATTTTAAAATTAGTGCCACATTTAATTACTGATATAACTGGGTACAATTCTACCATTTTGCTACTTGCTTTCTATTTTTCCCATGGTTTCTGTGTTCCCTTCTCTTTCCTTTCAGATTAGTTTTTATTCTGTTTTTCTCTTCTATTAGCCTTGATACATGTTGATCTTCTGTTATAGTGGTTACCCTAGAGATTCTATTACGCGTCTTTGATTTATTAAAATCTAATAATAATTTGTGCTTGTACCACTTCCCAAACAATTTGAGGACCTTTGATCGCTGTAACTATATTTATCTCCTCCTGACTTATAAGTCATAGCTGTCATGTATTTTAATTCTGTATATATTTTAAGCCCCATGAAACCTTTTTTCAGTGATTGCTTAGGTTTTAACCATTCCATTGCTCTTTGTTCCTTCCGGTATTTCTAAGCATTCATCTGTGATTGTTTTCCTTCTAACTGATATATTAGTATTTCATGTAGTCACATCTGCCAGCGATAAGTCCACTTGGTTTTTGTATGAAAAAAATGTTTATTTTGCCTGTATGTTTTAAAGATACCTTTGTTGGGTGTAGGATTCTAGATTGGCAGTTCTTTTCTGTTAGTGCTTTGAAACTATCGTTTCATGGACTTTCTGGCCCAGTGCTTTGCTCCCTTGCATCATATCCTCTCAGCTCACCTCTAGTTTGTGCTGCAGATGCAGTGGACAGTTTGTGTGAGCTCACACTTGCCTCCCAGTAGTGCTGTCCCACCTCAGGCGTGGGCCACAAGTCCTACACGTTCTGCCTCAGGGCCTTTCTGATTCTGCCTGGTCCTCGAATAAGCACTGTCCAGAAGTGAAGGGATTTCATCCGCCTGGGGTCCTCCCTCAACTGATGGGGAGCTCTAGCTTCCTGTCCTTTGGGTACAAAGTTCTGGAAGATCCTGGCAGTCTTGAGCCTCTGTTGCTTATAGTGGCAAGCTCCATAATGGATCCTTCTGTTGGTTTTTCCTCCTTTCCTTTCTTACTGTCCCTACTCCCTCGCTCTTGCTTCCTGGTATCACCTCCCAAATGAACTACATCATTACAGACTCTGCTTCTGGGGGACACTCAAACTTAAGATGTCTGACTTCCATTGTTTCTGTCACTCTCATTCCTTTGAAGGTAATGTATTTTTTTCCTCTGATTGCTTTTGAATTAATTCCGCTTCTTAAATCTAGCTTGGTATCTTTTGGCTTGAGAAAAGTCCCAGCCACTTTCTCTTCAGAAGTTGCTTCTGCCTGATTCTCTCTCCTCCTCCTGAGACTCCCAAGTCCTTGGATGTAGACTTTTCACCATGTCCCACCTGTCTTTCAAACTTTTTTTTTCCCGTTTATTTTTTCCTCTCAGTGCGTCAATCTGTTTTCTTCTGACCAAATTTCCTCTTCACTAATTTTCTTCATCTATTTCCCATCCATTGAGTTGTTAATTTCAGTTTATTTTTACCATTCTAGAATTTAAATCTGTTTTTTTAATTTTTTCCATTATACTTCCAAAACGCGCAACCTTTTCTTATTCTTTGAGCATGGTTATTTTAAAGTCCATATCTGTTAACTCCATTATCTGGATCCTATCCAGGTCTGTTTCTGTTGTCTATTTCTTATGGTTTGCAGTCGCATGATCCTTCCCCTTCATATGCCTACTTAAGTAAAGTACTTAGTACAGAGATTATCTCAAGATGGGGGTTATACAAGTCACTCTGCATCCCAGCTGTAAGTGGTGCAGGATGGCCGTAGCACAGGGGCTAAAGGCAGAGTGTGCATTTGTTAGTACTTTTCTTTAGAGACAGGTGTTAGTAAATAGATAAAATTGATGTGTACTGGTTTATTTCCCAGAGTGTACATTCGTTTTTCCTTGGAGCTATCATTAGGCATTCTGTAAAAAAACTAATATATTGAATAAAGGATGACTGTAGCTTCTCCACTGTATTATATAACAGGTTAGATTATTGAAGACAAATTTTCATACTTTAAAGAGCCATATAAACCTTTCTTTTGATAGCACTGTTGGTACAAGTTGCTCTCCAATGGATGGGCTTACCATGCAGTATTCTGAACCGAATGGGATTGTGGATTGGAGGAAGCAAAGCTATACAACCATACAGCACCCAGAGCACTGTGTGACCTTAGCTGACCAGGTATAGGGCTTTTGTTTTCTGTTGCCACGTAGTCAAAATATTACTACTAATAAGAAAATTGATTTCTATAAATATTCTGTCAGGTAGTATATCTGGCAGGAAGAAATGAAGGAATGTTCAAGTGTTTTATTTTAAACTGCGTTATATGATCTAAGCTCTTCTGAGAACTGAAAAAGTATATTTAGATTACTTTTATTGTTCCTGTAAAGTTAGTACACTTTAATATGACACCTAAAATGTTTATTCTAACTAGGGGGCACATTAAATTGTTAATACAAATTTTCTTGCTTTTGAAATAGTTGTTTACATTTTAGTCACTACCTTCCTGTTGGTGATGTGAATTTTAAAGTTGACCTTCTTTCATGAGTAGTTGGACCAATTGACTGGCACTTCTGAATGTAGTTAGGAAATATTTGCTTTCTTATGATTTGGATACAGAGAGTAGAATGTTCTCACATATGTTGATGTAATATGGCACCACAGATGGAGGGAAATGATACTGTTGCTGATATAAAGAGAACTTTCTTCCTCTCTCTAGAAAATAGATTCGTTAACCTAATTTTATCTCTGGCCAGCACTCACATCCAAATGTTACCCCTTCCTGGAATGTGTCTTTATAATCTAAAGCATTAAAGCATATTTTGAGAAACTGGAAGTTGTGTCAGTCATACTTATTTGATGGTCTATTTTCAAAACGCATCTGATTTTTCCTGCCTTTATAGAGTTAACAAAAAATGTATGTGTCGTCAGTTTTACCAACCTGCACTTGTAGGAAATACTAGTAAAACTATAGCCAGTGCCAGTCACTTCATTGTGTTTAGTTTTGTGGTGAGAAGAAAGGGTACAGGTCCATTTTAAAAGCAAAATGGAAACTCTTCTCATCATTAATATTAAGTATTTGTCACAAGAAATGCAAAATTTAATGGTTTGGGTAGATGTCTTCAAAATAGGTTGGAAATAAAAATTTATTAGAGTATACAACTGGAAATGTTGTATTTTTATGTTTGTTATCAGAATAAGAGAATGCCTACCTGACTATGGTTTAGCTTTTGTCTGCCTGATTTCTTTTTATTCTTTCTACCAGCATTCAGCTGACAAATGGAGCTTATCTTCAATAAATAAGAAGAAAGGAAAGCCACAAATAGAAAAGTAGGTTCAATTTAATGTGTCCAGTAGAGACTGGTAAAGAAAGTCAACATCATGTCATATTTTATTATGGGCATCTTTACTTTGTGTATAAATAGTATCTTTCCATTAGTTTTCTTTATACTTTTATTCTAGGCTTTACTTTTTTAGTTCAAAATATTAATGTGTACAGATGATAAAGCTATTGTCAAACAGTTTATTCCGTTCAGAGGGGCAAAACTCTCAGAACTGTACACTAAAAAGGGTGAATCTTGTATTAAATTATACCTTGCTAAAAAAATTAATGATAAAAAATTTTTTCGAGGAGGATTTTACAGTTTAATACTGTACTTAATTTGCTTGGTAGAGAACATTATGGAAAATGTTGGTAACGTGTACATTTGGTTTAGGGAGAAAAGTAAGAAAACTGACAACAGATTGAATAGTAGAATAAATGGCATTAGACTCTCCACTCCTCAGCACGTCCATGATGGTTCTGTGAAAGGTAAGAAAGGTGGTTTTTCTTTCAAATACCTGTTACCTAAATATATTCAGCGTGATACTTAAATTATATCAGTAGGTTTGAGCTGCCACGTCAAATCCTAATGTATTTTTACCTTGCACTGATGTGAAGCAATTTCTGAATTAAACAGTTCTGAGATATTAATGGAGTTAATTGAAGCAATGTAATTCAGCCATAGAGGCAAGCGTTTCCTTTGCCACAGTTATATATTTACCTACCTTTTCCTTTCCTTTGGCGGCAGCAGTCTCCTAACTTGTCTCCTTCTCAAGCCAGACTCTGGTCCAGAGTGGAGACCCAGAGGACATGGAAGATCTTCCCATGTCTTTGCAGGCCACCGTTAATGGAAGTCTTCCAGCATGAGAGTCTTCCAGTTTCTTCAAGTCGATTAGATTGACTTGTTTCTTTATACCATTGATTTAAGAATGTATTTATTAGTTATTTTCAATTAAAATTATGGTTTGATAATGAATTTTCACCTAGGTCAAGGACACACTTTTTAAGTGGTTATGGGAAAATTGAAAAAACATTTACAGCTGCAACTAATTTCTAATGATTTAATTCAGAAAGTAATTTAACTCTGTGGCCTGATTTTTTTAAAATGGAGTTGTTCTTTTTAGATGTGAATTTGGACATTGGATCTGGACATGATACATGTGGGGAAACATCTTCAGAGAGTTACAGTTCTCCATCTAGCCCACGACATGATGGAAGAGAAAGCTTTGAGAGTGAAGAAGAAAAAGACAGAGGTTTGCTATTTGGTGGTGGGGGTGGGGCGTGAGGGGAGCTGGGTGGTGGTGGCAGGAAATGTGTATTGTCTCTTAAAATAAAACTCAAATATAAGCAATTTTATATTCCTATAAATGTTGTTACTTGATTTTAAATTTAATTATTATAAAGGGTATCTTACAACCAATTCCTTAGTTCCTAGCAATGTTGATTTTAAACTTACTCACTGCATGTGAAATTAAAGAGTGGTAACAAAATGTAGAGTTAATGTAGAAAGGTTTAGAATATGTATATTGTTAGTTGCATGTGTGTTTATAATTTTATGTCTTCTTGATAGACTGATGCTTTTACATTATAAAATATCCTCTTTATCTCTGCTAATAACCACTCCAGCTCTCTTGGATACTGTTTTGCATGCCATCTCTTTTTCCATCATCTTACCTTTTAGGTTTAACTTATTTGTGTCTCTGAATCTAAAGTTTGTCTCTTGTAGACAGCATATATATAGTTGAATTTTTGTTTTGTTTTTCATTCTTCCGCTCTCCACTCCTTGATTGGAGTGGACTGTGTAACCCATTTACATTTAATGTAATTTTGCTAATAAGGTAGGATTTACATCTGCCCTTTTGCTGTTTGTTTTCTTTGTGTCTAATGTCTTCTTCTCTGTGCAGAGCCCCAAAGGACTGTTAGTTTTCAAGGCTGCCTTAGAGCTGGAGAAAGGAGGATGGGATTAGGGCAAATTAAAATAGCACAAGGTTTGCCCTTCTTACTTAGATTGTTGCATGCCATTAGTTAATTTCCATTGTTCTGAAGAAGTTGATTTTGAAGTTTTTGCCAGTGTTCTTGTTGCTTTTATGGAGGAGAGGAACTTTTGGGGGTCCCTCCTCCACCATCTGGGAAGTGCAGTCTCCTGGGGAATGTGTGTGTTGAATGAGGATGGAGCTCTTTACATGTGATAACAACTCTACTGGTAAAACTTGGACATAGATGCACCCATGCTGGGCAAAATCAAATTGTTTCTCCTGTGTCACCTTCATATAGTGATCTTAGCACAGCACTTCAGCCAAGTGTAGTTTCTTTGGGTACAGTCTGAGCTCTTCTGAGCCTCAGCTTCTGTGTTAAAGTATCAGGTCGTGTCTGTGGAGCTATGGCAGTTGTGTTGCTACATCACATAAAATTAAAGTCAGTCTACTCTGTAGTTATTTTGTAGTCATACCCAGTAGCATGTAGTGTTCCACTACCAGTTCTCCTCATCCGAGAAGCACATTTCTGATCTGCAATTCCCTCATGAGGGAAAAAAATGAAAGTAACCTCTCACAGAGCTGTTATGAAGGCTGATTGAGAGAATTTATATGCCTTACCCAGAAAAGACAAGCTTTGAGCATGTCTCATTTCACATATTATGGTTGATCCTACAGGATGTACAAATAACTGTGGCTCTATAGCTAACAGTGCAGATCTGGTCTCAATGTCACAGTTGTTGGAGTATAGTTGTTCGAGTATTACTGTATACTTAGGGGAACTTTGCAGCACCCTGTTGTCACATAGCATCGGTTGGTGGGCTTCTGGAGGAGTTTTTAAAATGACTCAGTTATTAAGTGACTTAATGAGCCTTTCCTAAGTAAAAGGATTATTTAGGGCTTTCTAAAACCAACTAAAATATCCACTTTGATAGAGGGCTTTTAGCCATTTTAGAACGTTGAGTGCATGAAGCGGGTTGCTTTGAAAAGCACGTGACTTTGTTGTTGTTTTTGGTTGTAGTGGTGGGTTTTGTTGTTTTTGTTTTCTTTTTAAGATTTTGTACTTTTCCAAATCATTGCAAAAAAGGATAACACTTACACGTGTAAATAACTAGTAGAGTCCTTAAAATGGTCAGAAAACCATTTGGAACCGTTTAAAATCGTGGAGCCCTTTGCTGTGACTTAAGATTTCAACAAAGCCCAGTTCCTGTAGAAATTTAATTAGCCATCTGAAAAATGTTCCAGCTTCATTTGGACTTAAATATTAATCTTTGACCCTGCACTGGTATAATGGTACAAGTATAATGCCTTAAATAAATTATTAAACTTTGGTTACTTTTTGTTTTGCAAAGTTTAGCAAGAATTACCTTGACTAGGGGAAGTTTATCCTAGAACCATTTGCTCATTAATTTAATCTCTAATATAAATTAAAAGCTGCATTAATAACTATGGCAGTACGTAGATTCTGCTTAACCTTTCTCCAAGAAGACGAGTCTGATTTATTTTTAATATTCTCTTTTAAGAAAATTGAACATTTTAAACTGAATATAATCAGTTATTACCTTGATAAATATAAACATCTTAAGTACGTACGTAATACAGTTAACTCATATTTATGAGCAGAAATGTTTAAAAATAGATGCTGCGTTCAATTGAATGGGCTATGTACGCATCAGTGCAGTATCTGGGCTTATGATTTTTACACATTGTGAATTAGATGTTATCTTTTGCCCTCTTTATATCAAAAGTCAAGAATCTCAAGGGAAGTCTAGATTGAAGTTATTTCTGGATACAAGTATAAGAGCAATGCAGTAGTAAAACCAAACGCAGTGTAATGTCACACCTGCCATTTTACTCTTGATTTTAGAGTCACGGCCATAGGCTTATACTTGCCTTGTTCCTTGTGTTCTGTATACTGGTTTTATGACAGTAATACTGGTTATAAAATTTTCTTTCCCCTGTTGAAATCTTTAAGAATAAGCATATTTATTCCATTTTAAACACATTCTCTTTCTGTCCCCTTCCTCTAGATATTTGAGTTAAATACAGTCTTGATCAAATCCTTTAAATTTATCGTTTATCTGAGACAAAGATGAAGAACTTGGGTTTGGCAGTGTAGAATGTAAAACAAGTAGTTTGCGAAAGTTGATTAAAGTTAGAAGGATATGCGACTTGTCTCAGTATTAAGGTGGGACTAAATCAATCTGTGTTTTTTATGCTTTGCTTCATTCAATCTCCAATTAACCTTTTGTTTTGTTTGCTTATCTTCCCATGTTTTGTAAATGATGCATGGATATAGTGATGATCCATAAAAAGCCAGAAATCAAAAGAAGATCAGATTGGGAAGTCAGGAAAAATGTAGAGGGACACATCTACCCCAGTTCCAAACTTCAGAGTTAATTTTAGTTAATATATTTTGTTTCTAGAAAGAAAGATGGCACTTAACTCATGTTCCTATCTATTCATGTTTGTTTCCCCCAGATACAGACAGCAATTCTGAGGACTCTGGGAATCCAACAACAACCAGGTTTACAGGTTATGGTTCTGTCAACCAGACTGTCACTGTCAAGCCGCCTGTTCAGATCGCTTCACTAGGAAATGAGAACGGAAGCCTCTTGGAAGATCCATTGAACTCACCCAAGTATCAGCATATTTCTTTTATGCCAACTTTACACTGTGTCGTGCACAATGGTGTCCCAAAGCCTGAGGTGGTTGTTCCTCCACCCAAATCTGTGGATGGCAAAACAATAGGGATGCTCGTTCCTAGTCCTGTGGCTATTTCTGCAATTAGAGAGTCCACAAATTCAACCCCTGTTGGAATACTTGGGCCAACAGCTTCTACTGGAGAATCAGAAAAGCATCTTGAATTACTGGCTTCCCCTTTACCTATCCCGTCAACTTTCCTTCCACATAGTAGTACTCCTGCTTTGCACCTAACAATTCAGAGGCTAAAATTACCACCGCCGCAGGGATCTTCTGAGAGTTGCACCATTAATGTCCCGCAGCAATCTGCTGGGAGTCTGAGCGTCGGATCACCAAACACTGCCTTCATTCCTGTCCATAACCCAGGTAGTTTTCCAGGATCGCCTGTTGCTACCACAGACCCCATCACAAAACCTGCATCCCAAGTGGTAGGACTAAATCAAATGGTGCCTCAAGTTGAGGGAAACACAGGGACAATCCCTCAGCCTACCAATGTGAAGGTAGTTCTCCCAGCAGCGGGCCTCTCAGCTGCACAGCCACCAGCTTCCTACCCTTTACCAGGCTCACCCCTTGCTACCAGCGTGTTACCCAACCAGAGTTCCAATGTGCTAAACACAGCAGCAGCTTCCACTCAGCCTGCAAGTGCAGGCCTCAGCCAGGTCCAGCCGACTGTTCCTCCCGCAGTTCCCACCCACACCCCAGGTCCTGCCCCGAGTCCAAGCCCCGCTTTGACACACAGCACTGCTCAGAGCGACAGCACATCCTACATCAGTGCTGTGGGCAATACGAACGCTAATGGGACAATATTGCCACCGCAGCAGATGGGCTCAGGTCCCTGTGGTTCTTGCGGGCGAAGGTGTAGCTGTGGGACCAGTGGGAACCTTCAGCTCAACAGTTACTATTATCCTAATCCGATGCCCGGACCAATGTACCGAGTCCCATCCTTCTTTACTCTGCCGTCCATTTGCAACGGCAGCTACCTCAACCAAGCACATCAGAGCAATGGAAACCAACTTCCTTTCTTTCTGCCTCAGACGCCATATGCAAATGGACTGATGCATGACCCAGTCATGGGGAGCCAAGCCAACTATGGCATCCAACAGATGGCAGGATTTGGGAGATTCTACCCTGTATACCCAGCACCTAATGTAGTTGCCAATACCAATGGTTCAGGGCCCAAGAAGAACGGGAACGTGTCCTGTTACAATTGTGGTGTAAGCGGACACTATGCACAGGACTGTAAGCAGTCGTCCATGGAGGCCAATCAACAAGGTAATCACGATAACTCCCAGAGGACTTGTTTTTGAGTTTGCCTGTTCTCCTGACCTTAGTGATCATGGTGATTCTCCGGTAGCAGAAAGATCCGTTTGTGTGTCCATGTGTGTTGTGGTTTCAGTGACAAATCATAAAATGCAAGCGTCAAGACCTAGTGTAGGCCCGGGGTGCACGGAACACAAGGAAGTTCAGAGGAATTCAGTTTCCCAATAAGGAGTCAGCTAAAGGCACTTTGCAAGGACTGGAATGGGGATTTGCATTCCCCAGTGTCAGAGCGCTTGCTAGCAGCACTTTTGTAAAGCTACAATCTTGTTTCGTATAGTAAGCAAAGTTTTTAAATATTGAAAAACCAGGATGTGATCTAGCCATCCAACATAAGAGGTTTTAGATACTATTTAGTGTAGCTATGCATAACCAGCTGGCCTCCAGCCCATTCCCTGTATTACCCCTTTCCTTCCCAGCAAATGTTAGCAAACAAACGAAGATCCAAGATTCTATTGAATTTTACAGGTGTGGGAGTAAGGGGATTTGAATTCATTTAATATTCTCACCACCAGAGAGGGCAGGAACATGCTGTTAAATACTAAGTATGAATAAGATACCAAATTGAGTGTTAACCTCAAACTGTCCTCTTTTCACTCGCATTTGGCCTTCATTTTGCCAAATCCTGCCCCCAAAAAGAAAGAAATCTTGAATTGGGGGTAATGACTTGGCATTTTTAAAGAAAAGACAGAATTCAATAGCTTTAGGTTGAACTTAAAGCACAAACCTCATATTCCTTTTTTGAAGTGGCTTTATTTACCGTTTGTAATATGTAAGTGCTGACGAAGGTGCCTTCTGAAGAGCATGCCCGTTTGATATCTTGTAGTGGTTTGTGATACATTGACTTGTACGCAGTGACTTAGCAGTTCTGTCTTTCCCATTTTAGGCACTTACAGACTGAGATACGCACCTCCCCTCCCCCCTTCTAATGATACGTTGGATTCTGCAGACTGAAACAAGTAAAGCTTGCCTACTTAATACCCTGAAGTGTGGGGAAGTTTGGTGGGGTGTGGAGGGGAGGAGAGGAAAGGTATTTTGTTGGGTTTTTTTGTCTTTACATTTCCTAGATTTCTATGCAGTTGGAAGTTTTCATTTCTCTTGTACCAGTGTCCACAACAAAAGACGAATGCAATGCTTTTGAGCCTCTGGTCTCCTGGTTTAACAACAGGCTTCGATGTATGATATGTGTAGTTTAAACATACGAACAAACTTAAATGGAAAATGTTGACGCGTGCTTTTTTTTTTACACTGAATACTTGCTGTGTGCAATGTTTACAAAATCTTGAAAACTGTGTATTTGACCTTTTTTTACAACACTGGTGACAGTCATATGGTTTTGAAAAAAAAAGAAACTTTGCTTCTTCCCTAGCTTTTCTCACTGCCCCCTAAGCGACCACTTCTCCCCTCCTGCTCCTCTGGTCTTATAGGAGCAGCTGGCAGTGGACTTGTTCACACTTGAGCACACTGCTTTGCAGAGGATTTGAGGGTAAAATGTCTCCACCTTAATCTTACTGGAGAAATCAGATTCCCCAAATAGTGTGTCTGTATGTAAGAAACGGCATCATATAAATACATATATGCAGCGCTTGTTTTCCAAATAAAAATTAAGTGAGAGAGGAAGAAGTAAAACCATATGAAACTGAAAAAATATGAAATGGACAAAGAGCTTTTCTTAAAGAAAAGAAAAAACCACAAACTTTTTAACTTCCATCATACTTTTTTAGCCTGTTGCTTCAGAGAGACGCAAAGTGAACAAACTGGTGTGACTGTTGTTCTTCTGTGTGTTTGTGTTTGTATGAAAGTCAACAGCCAGTTTTACTTTCTGTAGTCTACTCCTGTGTCATGGGAAAAGAGACACTGCTTGAGTAAAAATTACTCCTTTCCTGTATCAACTGTTACAGTGTTACATTGTGTTTAAAATGTGTATGGTTTATTTCAGTCTGAACAGAAGCTGTGGGTTTCTGCAAAAAGTCAGGTATTCTTGCCCTCCCCTGTCTCTGGTAGCAAAGTCACTTTGTAAGCGTTTCCCACTATGCTCGACCACAATGGGAAAGCCAAATTCCGAGGGTGTGGAGACAGTATTAATCATGTCAGTGTCCCATCGCTAGGTTTAAAATGCTGCTGTTTAAAAAAAAAAGTTTTTTTTAAAACCAATCTATGTACTAAATTGCTTCCAGGTGATTTTTGATTTCCTAAAGTGCACTGAGGTTGTCTGGAAGATTGGGTGTATCTTTTGGTGATTGCTGCATTCAACAGCAATGAACAACCACCACTGTAGAGTCAGCCGTGGATTTTGGGGGGGGGGCTGGTCCTGTGTCCCCATTCCTCAGCACACAGCAAAAACATGTTGTGTGGAGTCACGTTTGTATGCAGCAGAGGAACTTAAATATTTGGTTTTGGTTCAGAAGCCTAGCAGATTGCTAGGCAAAAAGAAAGACTTGAAGAAAAAAAAGCTTAATTTAATGCTTCATAGGTAGCATTTATATTTATAGCACCAGTGTACACTTTGAAACGTTTCTTTCGGGTGGGAGGTATGAGGAAGGGGAAGGGGTGGGTGGAAGGGGTAATGAAAGCTTTAATTTAAAAAGAAGAAAAAGTTTGAGTAAAGGAAATTATTTTGATTAAATATATTTTATTTGATCTGGGTATTTTTGGACCACATTATTAATTGTTAAGCTGCAGTTGAGTTGTTCCAAGTGAGAGTTTTGATAAGCCAGGTATGGACTGCATTGTGAATCACTTGTCAGTTGTACTTTATGGAGCTTATTTTATGATTTAAAATACCGTACTGTACATAGGAGGTATGTTACCTTCTCCTTATTTGTATGTTTACCATATACTTTGATATTTGAAATGTTATGTACTGGAAAGGCCACTTATATTTCTAGAACAGATTGAATTTTATGCAACCTTTTTTCCTTGAATTAACAGCAATAAAAAAAAATGAAAAACAGCCTAAGAATTGTGATTTATTGCAAATTTCATATAATTGAAAGATAAGACCTCATACATGGTATATGGGGAGGAATTGCTTGTTTTGTTTGTTTTAAGGAGTCAACCCATTTCCCTGGTAATGTGGACAGTGAATCCCAAAGTGGTCCGCCATCTGGATGTCTGTGCTTGTTGAGCAACCTGTGTGAACAAGAGGCAGTCCTGCCGACACAGAGCCTCTGTGTCTGCTAAGGCCCTCCCAGGAAGTGTAAACGGCCTAAGTGGCTTTCTCAAATTTGTTAATTCGTTAGCCAAACAACTACCTCAGCACAGTATTGAGTATCTTTTATTTCATTGGTTCTATCTTCTATAACCCGGTCTCAAGTCAGAGTTTTCAAACAATCGATAATTTACAAGAGACTGTCAGGCAGTCTTTGGAGTACCCATTGGTGGACCATGCCGTGTGGTGATGACTAAGGGGGTGGTGCACCGCCCAAGCCCTGCCAGTCGTTCCCCAGGCATTCGGTGCAGCTGTGGCCACTTGAAAGGGCTCTGGCTCTCAGCAAGCCTCCGGAGCCTCTGATGTCCAGTTGGGAAGTGGGTTTGAAATGATGAGAGTATCCCTGGTTGTTTAGAGCACACCAGTTTTCCACTTGAGTCAACAAATACACACCTACATGTAACATGTAAAGTCGCAAACCCCCTTCCAAATTAACTATAGCGTCTCCAGTATCAATATTACCTATCCCATCTCTCCTGTCTTCGTCCACTACACTAAGATAGCCACTACGCTATTTTTGTATTCCCTTGCTTTTTTCAGTTTTCTCACATACTTTATTCCCCCCAAATATACAGTTTTATTTTGCTTTTCTGTATCTTTATGAAAATGGTATTATGCTCTACCAAGTCTTCTGTAACTTGCTCTGCTCATCTGGCTTTATGGTCCTGATGTATGTTCCTGCAGCTTGTTCACTTTCACTACTTTATAATATTAATTGTGTGGAATATGTATATAATTGTCCAGTATTCTCTCAACAAGTATTTGGGTTGTTTTCATTTTTGGCTGTTACAAATAGCGCTACTAGAAGCATTTTTGTACCTGTCTCCTGATTCATGTGTGGAAGCATTCTCTAAGGTATATATCTAAGTGCTGTTGCTGGTTGGAGGACACAAAGATACTCAGTTTTCCAAGACCTTGTCATATTGTTTTGCGCTCACACCCCAGTACACAAAAGACCTCTCAATCCTACTTTCACACCCTCGTCAAACAACAATAGTGTAGTGCTGCAGAAGGCTAGGCAAGGGAGGAATAAGTGTACCTGGAGATGTTCTGTAAGGCTTCATTGGTCAGCACTGAGGACCTAGACTTAAGGTATTGATTGGCAGTGAGAAAGGCCAATCTAAGTGGGAAGAGTTGGCTTGGTGGTGCCGATTTAGAAAAGGTTGGAATGACAGAGAGAAGGAACCTTGGGCCTCTGAGCTTCATTTTCCCTAACTATGAGATTGTTTAAATTATGGTTATGAAATGTAAATGAAATAATGTGGGCAAGGTCCAATGAAATAGCACTTATAAGCACTCAAATGTGAGTTGAATTCAATTTTGATGAACAGAATTGTGATACTGTTTACAGAGACAGAGAAAATGTAAAAGACAAGTTGGCCTAGGAGTGAAGGTGATGGTGTTTTGGGTGGTGAGGAGTTTAGCAAACATAGTTCTGCATTAGATCAGTTAATTTGGCTCTATCTGCTAAAAAACAAAACGGTATTCCTTGCCCTCAAAGATGAAATCTAGTTGGAGAGCTTACCAACTTATGGTAGGTGTGGACTATAGATCTATGGGCAGAGTTGGGCAGTACTGGTTATTCAGTACCAAAGTAAAATACGTTCATTGCGAGGCAACCCAGATAAAATTTTTTATGTAAGTACTAAAAATCAAATTTTTCTGAGGAGGCTCTAAAGAGATTAAAGCACAGTGTAAAATACTTTTTTTTTTTTTTTTTTTTTAAACAGGTAGCATCTAGTACTTAGGAGGTACCATCCATTTGAACTTTAGAAGACACCTTTTTCAGTTCTACATACTGATTACAAAAGCCTTCTAAGGTTCGGGCAGTGAAACCAAGTGAGGCAAGCTGTGACAGTAGTTCAAACCCATAACCTTCCATAACTTCATCTCAAGAGAATAAAGAAGAATGCAGACTCCCCCTAACTCACCCCATCCAAAAGGCTCACTTCCTGTCAGATGAGTTTTGAGATGCAGGGCATGACAAAAAGAAATGAGATGCTCCGACTTTAAACACGGTCCCTGCGTCTCTGGACCTTCTTTCTCTACAGGGGTGAGGCCAGCTAGTATGGGAATGAAGGGGTCTGCGGCCAGAGGTTGAGGCAAGTAAAAACTTGGGGGCAGGAAGGGGGGCCATATTAACTGTAGTCCTTTGACATCACCAGGTGCAGAGGGAGGCCATGGGGTGTAGCAGTGTCTTACTAGGGAACACCTGTTGGTGTTGCCTTGTACAGTATGGGTTCCTAAGGTCAGTCTAACATCAAAATTTTGCTTTATCCATGCTTAGAGACTGAAGCTGTTGTGCCTGTAAATGCAAGAATAACTCCTTGGCCATATGTCAGAGAAATCTATCTACTTTTTAAATGCTGTCCTCTTTTGAAAAATGTAAGCCCTCTGGATTGGAACATGGGTGAACATTGTGTGAGCTTTTTGTGTGTATGCAAATATTTATCAGTCTTGGAAGCACAGGCTTCCTCTTCCCTGTTCTGGAAAGGGGCACATCACACGTGTGGGGACCAAAGAGCCCTCCTTCATGCAGTCACCCCTCCGTCTGTGGCGACTGTAGACCTTGGTCATCAGAAGCTCTTTGGGGGCTAGGGAGGTGGGGTGAGGTGGAGGGAGTCTGGTGGTTCTTCACTGTTTCTTTTTCCTCTTGCAGCTCCCATTTGATGCCTTGTAAAAGAAGGTCTCAGCTGGTCTCTCACCAAAAGAACTTGCTAATTGGAAAGCAGTGCCACCTGGTGGGAGATGAGGCCAATGCAAGAAGCAGATATTCTTTCCTACTGACCTAAATGGAACGTAAGAGAGAAGACATTTGGGATTGTATGCCTTTGCCCAAAACCTAACAGAATGCAGGCGACTGGTCATAAAGTAATTTTATCAGACTCTCTTTTTTTGTGTGTAAACGTTCTTAAACACAATTGTGTTTACAGTTTCCCTTGTGCTGTCCTGTAGGTCCATTTGATGATCGCACTGTGAAGGATAGGGGATTTTTGCCCCTGGCCCACAGTTCAGGAACTTAAGGTGCAGAGGAGTTTGGTGCTGCAGGTGCCTCACCCTCAGCTTGAACTCCCTTCTCTGCCTGCGTCCTGCCACCAAGTGCTTCTCTTCTAAATCAAGGGCAATGGCTTTAAAACAGTAAAACCACAGGAACTCGTACATGTAGCAACCACTATTCAGTCCCTGAGAGAAGACCGGGCCAGCTCGTGGGAACATCTGGAACACAGGCAGTCTTAGTTATCTAGTGCTGCTATAACAGAAATACCACAAGTGGATGGCTTTAACAGAGGAAGGTTTATTCTCTCACAGTCTAGGAGGCTAGAAGTCCAAGTTTACGGTGCCAGCTCCAGGGGAAGGCTTTCTGTGTTGGCTCTGGGGGAAGGTCCATGTCATCAATCTTTCCCTGGGTCTAGGAACTTCTTAACACAGGGATCTAGAGTCCAAAGGACACACTCCGTTCCTGGTGCTTCTTGGTGGCATGAGGTCCCTATCTCTCCGCTCCTTCTCTCTCCTTTTCTCTCTCAAAAGAGATAGGTTCAAAATACAGCCTAATCCTGTAGATTGAGTTCTGCCTCATTAACATAACTGCATCTAATCCTGCCTCATTAACGTCATAGAGGTTAGGATTTACAACGCATAGGATAATCACATCAGATCACAGAATAGTGAACAACCACACAGTACTGGGCAACATGGCCTACCCAAGTTGATACACATTTTTTCGGAACATAATTCAATCCATGACAGGCTATGTTCTCATCCATCTGAATGTCTCTTTCCTGTATCTCTGTTGAAGGATTTGAAGATGTGGGATTTGGGCAACATTTCCAGAGACAGAAAACCTCAGGACTTTAAGAACTAAGCTTTCAGCATTTGCCTTCCTCGAATAAATTCAAGGAACATCAGCTCTTGCCTATGTCCAAGGTTTTAAGCGTGCATGCATATCCTCTACTGGAATGTTGAGTTTTACTATCCCTACATGCAAAGGTTCTTATTGTCCCTCCATGTCTTATAAATCGAATATAAAAGTTTGTCCCATTCATTTTTTTGTCTCTTTTTAAATTTATTCATTTATTTTTAATAATAAAAAATTTTTATTTTTCGTGAAGGTTTACACAGCAGTTTAGGTTTCCATTCAACAATCTCTACACAAAAGTTTTTCAGTGACATTGGTTATGTTCTTCGTGGTGCGTGAACATACCATTCATTTTAAGACTTCTGAAACTAAGAAATGAGGCAGCAGGGCAGGCAGAAAGGGCCTGCTTCTGTCTGCTGATATTTTTAAAGCTCTGACGTGACGTGGGTTGTCCCACCTACCCCTCCACCATCACCATCCAGAAGCATTCTGAAGGCAAAGAACAACAGTGCCAAAGTAACCTGAAGCAGGAACAATAGCAAACACACCCCCCAAAAAGCCCTCCTAAACGCTACAAAACGTCACCAAGGTTGCCTCTTTTGTTATTTGGCACTCATTCTTGCTAGCAGATCCGAGTTAGATCACACTTGTTACGTGGTATCTTAATTTTGCGTTGGATGCTTCCATAAAATCATCTTGTAGAAGAGGTGGCTCCAGTCTGGGGCTTCGTTCCCAGCACCCAACCCATATACTTGTGACCCCTTCAGGCTCGTTTTAGAACGGGGATCACAACACTAACTTTGTAGAATAGTTACGATGATTAAATCTGGCAAAACACATAAAGCACCCGAAGTCTGACACATAGTAGGTTCCTAGAAAATTTATAAT